ACACGTCACCGTCGTAGCGATGCCCTAAAGCAACTCCTGCTTTATAGTCTATTTTCCTCTAAATGGGATCATAATGGGAATGTTCATTTACTAAATGAACATCATGCTATGTTGAAGAAGACTTGAAACTAGAGGCCAAGACCATAAATTCATTAGATAAGTGTTAACTGATGTAATAAATCAAGTGAGAAGTAGGGTCATTCTGCCATCATCAGTACAATGCAATTTGACTTGAAACTGGCATAGTCGCCCCCTGCTGGCCATTAGAAAGAATGCAGGTTTAAGGCACTTTTGCATTGGATCAAGTTATAACACAAGAACTACCTGTGGGTTGCAACAAAAGGAACAGGATGTGATGTCACAGTGCCACATAGGTTAGTCCAATTGCCATGAAATTTGAACCATTTTGTATACTTGTACATACATACTTATACACTTAATATTTCTGAGATTTATATTATTACATTATTAAATTAGCCCTCATTATAATTACATCATTATATTTGGAAAAAAAAAAAAGTACCCACCTGAAATGTATTACATTATGGGTAAAATTTTTATTACAATGTCAGTCAAGAACCTTTACTACATTATACATACATAGTTTTTACATAGATTACATTTTTGATTACGTTAAAAGCAGTTTTATGACATTTTCAGGCATTATAACCGGTTCAGAAAATTAATATTGGATATATTTATGAAATAATAATCTAAGATTTACTATTAATATTGACGATAAGCAACTTTTATAGACCCTGGTACCTGGTATTTTTGTCATGGCACACAGAACCACACAACCCCCAAATATAATATGCGAGGGGTGAGAACCAGAGGGGTGTAAGTGATATATTGGGCAAAAATGACTTTATAAATATACATAAAAATGACTATATATCAAATTAAGCCTCTTCGTGAGCTCTTTCTACTGCCAAAAGGGCACACGTGAATTCTGAACCAATCTAGAGTAATTAATAAAGAATTAAAATACTTAGCAATGAACGCCTTTTGTTAATTAACACTGTTTTCTGCCGTCCCTCTCAGGTAACTTTTACCAGAGAAGAGCTCTTAAACATTGGACTTTCTACTGCTCATACCATTCCACCGCTCTTTTTTGAACCTGGAACTTTCCCTGCTGCTCCTCAACAGAACCAACTCCGACTTCTGCAGATCTGCTGCCCTCTGTTTCACCGAATCCTGGCTCACCGAGCACATCCCGGTCAGCGCACTTCATCTACTGGGATTTAATCTCATCCGCGCGGATCGCGAAAGGGAGCTCACGGGAAAAACAAGGGGAGGCGGACTCGGTTTCTATATAAACGAAGGTTGGTGCACAGATGTCAGCATTGAAGAAATCATGCAGCCCTCACTTAGAGACATTATTTATAAACTGTAAACCGTTTTATTCACCGCGGGAGTTTTCCTCGTTTGTTCTGGTCGCCGTTTACATTCCACCTCAGGCCTGTGTTAGTGAGGCGTTAATACACCTGGCCGACCAGATAACTAACGTGGAGAAAAAACATCCAGACTCCCTGCTTTGTTCTTGGGGACTTTAACAAAGCAAACCTCAGTCATGAACTTCCAAAAGACAGACAGCATATTAAGTGTCCCACCAGGGACACTAACACACTGGACCACTGCTACACAACATTAAAGGATGCCTATCGCTCTGTTCCTCGTGTAGCTATGGGACTCTCTGATCACTGTCTGGTTCATCTTGTCACGACACACAGGCAAAAACTGAAATCTGCTAAACCTGTTGAAAAGACTTTGAAAAGATGGACCAATGAGTCAAAGCTGGAGTTACAGGCCTGCTTTGACTGCACTGACTGGAGTGTTTTTTTGAGGCTGCAGCCACTGACCTGGACAAACTAATTGACACTGTGACATCTTACATCAGTTTTTGTGAGGACGTGTGCCGACCAAAACCTTCCACACATACAACAACCAAAAACCCTGGTTCACAGCAAAACTCAGGCAGCTTCGTCAGACCAAGGAGGAGGCCTTCAGAAGTGGGGACAGAGTCTTGTACAACCAGGCCAGACGCTCCACAGTCATCCCGGTCCCTAAAAAACCCTCCATCTCTGGACTGAATGACTACAGGCCTGTCGCCCTGACAGTTTGCCCACAGGGCTAACAGGTCAGTGGATGATGCTGTCAACTTGGGACTGCATCACATCCTGAAACATCTTGACTCTCCAGGGACATATGCTAGGATCCTGTTCGTGGACTTCAGCTCGGCGTTCAACACCATCGTCCCGGACATCCTCAGCACCAAACTCACCCAGCTCACTGTGCCAGCCTCCACCTGTCAGTGGATCACAGACTTCCTGACTGACAGGAGTCAGCAGGTGAGGCTGGGAAACATTACATCCAGCACCTCCTGAAGTTCGCTGACGACACAACGGTCATCGGCCTCATCCGGGACAGTGACGAGTCGGCCGACAGACGGGAGGTTGATCAGCTGGCTCTCTGTTGTGGTCAGAACAACCTGGAGCTTAACATGCTCAAAACTGTGGAGATGACCGTGGACTTCAGGAGGAGCCCCCCCACTCTGCCCCCCATCACCATACTCAACAGCTCTGTCTGCTGTGGAATCCTTCAGGTTTCTGAGATCCACTATATCCCAGGACCTGAAGTGGGAGCCCAACACTGACACTATCATCAAGAAGGCCCAGCAGAGGATGTACTTCCTGCGTCAGCTCAGGAAGCTCAACCTGCCTAAGGAGCTACTGATCCAGTTCTACACAGCCATCATCCAGTCTGTTCTCTGCACCTCCATCACTGTCTGGTTTGGATCTGCCACCAAAAAGGACAAGGACAGACTACAACAGACAGTCAGGACTGCAGAAAAAACAATCAGTGCCAACCTGCCCTCCATTCAGGACTTCTACATTTCCAGAGTCAGGAAACGGGCAGGAAACATCACTGCAGATCCATCTCACCCCGGACACAACCTGTTCCAGCTCCTCCCCTCTGGTAGGCGCTACAGAGCACTGTACGCCAAAACCAACAGACTCAGGAACAGTTTCTTCCCACAAGCCATCACTCTGATGAACAGCTGATTTCTGACTCAGTGTCAGGAACAATTCCTGTGCAATAACCCAGTAACTCTGTCTCTAATTAGCCACCTGTTTACTGGTTTCCACTTATTATTTATTTATTCACCATTCTCTATTTCAGTGTTGCTCATACCATGTCATATTGTATATACACTGTATACCAATACACCTACCTCAGGTCATAGGTCTTATTTATTTTTACAGCATCCTTTGCACATGCTCCATCACACTGTGTACATGTATGTGTACCTGTATATCATATCCACCTTCAACATGTACATAATGAGAATAGTTTACTCTTGCATCCTTTGCACTCTGATCACTGCACTATTTGTCAATATGTCTATATTGTTAATATGTCTATATTGTTTTGTTCATAGTGTGTATATTAGTGTTGTCTACTCTGTAGTTTGTGTCTGATTTTATTTTATTATTGTATAAGTAAGCACATCGTGAGCAATGTACAATCCTGAGTCAAATTCCTCGTATGTGTACACATACCTGGTAATAAAACTGATTCTGATTTTTATATACATTTATTAAATCGGCCAAACCTACATGGAGATATGACATCACTTCCTTCTTTGACTGTAACATACAGGAAGTTGTATAACTTCTTCAAATTTTTGGATTATCAAATAACTTTTGGTCATGAGCGTCCATGGATTCTACATGCAAAGTTTTGGGCAGATCAGACTTTCGGCCTTGGAGAAGTTCATTGTGGGAGTTACAAGTTTACCTTAATTATAGCGCCACCCCAAGGCCACTTGGGCTTGGTGGGCTTGGACCCCTAAAGACATGGTAATTTGGATTCATGTGTTCTTTTTTTCTGACTTTATGCGATCAAAAATAGACAAATTTGTCTGTTTTCTCATTGGAAATAGGTCCATTTTATATCTCTGTCCTTGTCACAAAAAGAAAAGTTGTTTTAACAAAATTACTTACATTCAGTAAACTCATGATACATATTTTATATAATATTATAACAATGGATTACTGTTTTAAGTGATTAAAATTGTGTATGGGATAAAATGTGAGACAAAATATAGTAATTGTTTGTTTTGGCATTCCTGTAAAGTTAGTCAAATGTCACTTATGCCCCTCTACTTCTCACACAGATGCTGAAACAATTTTGGATTTAATATCACAGACAGCTTGTTTCTTGTTTTCATGTCTACCAGCGATGAAAGAGACACATCACTACAGTATATGATGTTGAAAACATACAGTATCACAGTAGACAATGGATATACATTTTCCACAAGCAGCCAATGCTGTTCGTTAAGTCATTAGCCAAGTTGTTTTGAGTCTTATTTTAGTTTTGGACTCATACTCAGTACTGTTGAGGGCTGAGATTCTTTGAGCTCTTTTTATCACATCAAATATTTCCATCGCTTCCTTTTCAATATTTTTCTTACTGCCCTTTTTAAAGTGGTGAAATGTTATTAAAAATGCACAATAAATAGACAATGATATGATAAATCTTGTGGCACCCTTGGCCCACTTTGGGAACCAGTGCTATAGTGTAGTGTATTAAAAATGTGTTCCTGTTCGCCAGACACAAACACAAGAATCAACATCATGTTACAAAAATGTTGCTTTTATTGTGCACGACAGTATGTGCAAAACTAGAACCATATTGTGTGTGGGGGATTTTTTGTGTGTTTTTTGCAATGTAGAATGTGCAAGCTGGTGTACATATTACACTTAAACTCTAACTTAGTACAAGTGTAGCTAACTTTTACTATCTTCCCTTAGGATACACTAAACACAATTTTGAGTCCTGGTTGAACTTCCACTGTTCCTAGCAGTAATAGTTTGATACATACTGGCTTTAAGACACTAAATGCTGCACTTGCCAGTTGAAAGAAAGTACACTCAGGAGTGAGCCAGGACAGCCCTGGGCACTACGGATGTCCAGTGTGTTGTGTATTTTACCTGGGTGGAGTCAGAGAGGGTGAGGTGTTTAGGACAATCAGGGTTGCTGTGGAGGAGGTTGGTCATGTAGTTGTGGGCCAACCTTTCCAGCTCTGCCTGGCTAACATCAGCCAGGAGATCCACGGGGAACTTCATCCCTGTACATCAGACAGAAGTGAGAGGGAGCAGTGTTCAGACCCTCAGTTATTACTGTCGTCACTCCACCAAGCTACAGTGACTCTGGAGTCATGTGGAACTGTCAAGAATGAATTGATACAGTAACAGAGAAGGCAACACTTAAAAAGTAGAGTAGTAAGTTAAAGTCCTTAAAAGTATCTCTCAAACATTATTTAAGCAGTCAAAGTGGTATTTCTTCCTTTTTAAAATCACAGGCAGGGGTGTTTCCAGGCTCTAGAAACATTGGGGGCTTAGCCTAGCTAAAATCTTTCATGTTTTTCCATCTGTTTTTGTGAAAACAGACGCCCAAACAAGTGTCTCTGATTGAGGGGCAAAGAGAGCAACAGCTCAGCGGTCAGGTGTATAGTATTCTCTCGCTACTTTGTGGCGGACTGTTAACCATTTGTGTAGTAAATACAATGACAGACAATTATATAAATTATATCTAAATATTTTGATTGCAATTTTGCTAGAGACAATTCAGTAGTCGCTGACAAGTCGTGAAGCTGTGAGCAGTGCACGCATACTCTCTCTCTCACTCTAAATGCAAGCACGCTGAGTAATGTTGGGGGTCACATTACATGAACTTTAAACAAAATGTAGCAATATTATTGCGAGTAGCCTCCATTATCTGAAGACCTGCGACAGGCTGTGTCATGAAGATAAGGCTTGTGCATCTTAATACAGAATTTTTTTTTGTTGTTGTTGAGCTACATTCTGGGCTACAGTCGAAACATTTGAGGCTAAAGCCCCGGAAAAATGGCCTGCCTATAAGAAATAAATCAAATGCAGATGGAATAACGCTTCTACACAAAGTACTTGAACGCTGTTATGAAATATTAAAGATGAAGAGGAAAATAGAGGACACAATAAAATTATACTTTAACTGTCCAAATACTTGGCAGTTCTAAAGGAAAGGAGTTAATAGGAACAATTGTGGTCCATGATATTTCAAGAATAAGGCTGGTGTTTTCCTACCTATATTTTTGTTAATGTCAACAAATACCAAGATGTGTTTTAGGTAAGACACTCAGACTAGAGGAGAGAGTATTAATGCTGTTAGCACTAGGGCCACAAGGGGTTGTTATATTTAGGGCCCGAGCACGACCGTGCGAGGTCCCTATTGAATTTGCTCGGATTATTAGGGCCCGAGCACGACCGTGCGAGGTCCCTATTGAATTTGCTAAGATTTTTTAGGGCCCGAGCACGACCGTGTGAGGTCCCTATTGAATTTGCTCGGATTATATATATATATATATATATATATATATTAGGGCCCGAGAACGACCGTGCGAGGTCCCTATTGAATTTGCTCGGATTATTAGGGCCCGAGCACGACCGTGTGAGGTCCCTATTGAATTTGCTCGGATTATTTATTAGGGCCCGAGCACGACCGTGCGAGGTCCCTATTGAATCTGCTCGGATTATTAGGGCCCGAGCACGACCGTGTGAGGTCCCTATTGAATTTGCTCGGATTATTTTTAGGGCCCGAGCACGACCGTGCGAGGTCCCTATTGAATCTGCTCGGATTATATATATATTTTTTTTTTTCTGCAAAGTAGGCCCAAATGACATGGCCTAAACATACTCGAAAACTCACCAAAATTTGCAAACATGTCAGAACCGGTGAAAAATTTCGTATTCTACAAGTTTCGCACATGGGCGTGGCAAAATGACTCGCTAGCGCCACCTTGAAAATTGGAAATGATTAGCCCCTCGTTCACGTTCAACCTACATGTACGAAATTTTCTGGGGACATGTATCGTATCAAGACGCACAAAAAAGCCTCAAGAACCCATAGCCTAAAGTCAACAGGAAGTCGGCCATTTTGAATTTTATGGCCATTTTGGATGATTTACACACTTCGTACTTTAACGAACTCCTCCTAGGGATTTAGTCGGATCGACGTCAAATTTCTGCTGTGCCTTCTAAAGGCATTGACGATGAAAAGTTGTGCTATTTGCGAGTTTTCGTCAATGGGCGTGTCCGTGGCGTCGATGATTCGCAATGAAACAGGAAGTTGTTGTAACTTCAGTGTACATGCTCACATCTGGACCAAACTGTACATGTAGGATGAGAGTCCCGCCCTGAACACATGTACATGCTCACATTCACAGACAGTCATAGCGCCACCTGCTGGCAACAGGAAGTGACTTTTAACGAAGCAGCCCCCGCCGCACGTTTCACCTACGTGCACGAATTTTCTGTGGTACGTGTATCTTGTCCAGACGCACAAAAAAGCCTCTTGGAGCCATAGCCTAAAATCAACAGGAAGTCGGCCATTTTGAATTTTACGTCAAATTTTGGATGATTTACACACTTCGTACTTTAACGAACTCCTCCTAGGGATTTAGTCCGACCGACCTCAAATTTGTGCTGTGCCTTCTAAAGGCATTGAATATGAAAAGTTGTGCTATTTGCGAGTTTTCGTCAATGGGTGTGTCCGTGGCGTGGCGTCAGAGATCAAGTCTTCGCCATGACACAGGAAGTTGTTGTAACTTCAGTGTACATGCTCACATCTGAACCAAACTTTTCGTGCTTGATAACTCTCCCACCCCGCTATGGAGGACCGATCCTGACACAGTCAGAAATAAATACAGAAATAAATAAATGCTCAATAAATAAATAAGCATCCAATTAAATACACAAAAAAATTAAGTAAATAAATAAATGTAGGTAGTAATTAAATTATACAAGGAGACATAAATGTATATATTTTAATTAGTGCCTTTACTTATTCACCTTTGTTATAATTACCTTATTTGTTTATTCAACTTTATTTATTACTAATTTTTTTAATGTATTTATTTATGTGTGTGTTTTAATATTTTTGTCTGTTTTATTCTTCCTTTGTATTTATTTACCTTATTTATTTTCACCCATGGTATTTATTTCTGCCTGTCTTAAATTTTTGTATGCATTTCTGCCTCATTATGCAAATGAGGAGGGGCTGTGTCTCAAGGGGTCATCTTCTCTGCTATTGGTGGACCAGTCAGACAGGAGAGCTCCTACTCTGCCTGCAGACATCAACGATCTTGCCCCTCACACAGTCAGATGGCTTCCTTCAGTGCGCTGAGGTGTTTAACAACTCTGAAGACAATACTACCAGCAATGTCTTCCTTCTCTTTTCACGTAGAAGCACCGACAGACAGTGCTTTCAGTTTGCTGCATGCATGGACACAGAACTGCGGTATAGGGAGAAGCACACGGTCAGCTGGCTGCAGCTAAATCTGGAGTGCACTCGTATTCAATTCTGTATGGTAAATTCAGTTTTAACGGAGCAGAGCGAGCTGACAGGCAGAGTTAGAGACTTTTTCTGTCTGTTTCTCTCTTTACAAAGACGCATGTTGCAGTCAGAGTCTTCTCTGAGATGCGAGCACGACATACAACACAATTTATCAAATTACACAACGGATATACAGTATGAAAATAAGATTGATTGGATTATACTCACAGGAAGTATAAAACCTCTTACATGGGTCTATTAAAAGTAAAGTAACACAAAAATGTCAGGGAAATTACTTTACTTAGATTTAAGTACTGCAGTTGTACATTTGAAATACCTTCCTACCTTTCTGATAGGAAGCCTTCTTGAGGTGGTATAAAACATTTCTTCTTATATTCTGATTTGAGTTGTGGACAACTATGACCACATGAATTAAAAAAACATTTCACTGCCCAAGTCAGCTATAACACAAGTCTTGATCATCAGACTACATGCTGTACAGTATTTGTGGACAGATTTTGTCCCAGGATTTCTTATGCATTTCTTCTTCTTCGTTGCATGATTTAGAATAATAAGGTGAGAAATGGGTCTATTCTGAGTTCATCCTGCACTGCAGCAGCTAATAAAGTCCATTTAATCCCAAAAACGCTTTTCTTTTAGGCAGGCTGGAGCAGAAAACAACTCACCTTTCTCAAGTTGTACAGTAATGTCACATGTGTATGAAGGTGGATCAAACAAGCTAATCTTAAATGTCAAAGTAGAGAGGAGCCTAGTAGGCCTATTTATTTTCATTCATTACACAATATGAATAAGCTATGCAGACAGTTGTAAAGAAAGAACATCTTTTTCTTCTGTTCTCTACTTGTTATAGTTACACAGTATTAGGGGTGTGGGCTGTATTAAAAGTATCCACTGTTCTCCCATGCTCTAACACACAGTAACGATGAAATGTGTGCTGTTCTCACATTCTTCCTCTGTATGTACACATAAACAACAAGGCAGGGAAATATAAAAGGAATTTATTTTATTGTTTGGGTACATTATTGTTCAGTGTACATGCTCACATCTGAAACAAACTTTACGTGCTTGATAACTCTCCCACCCCGCAGACATCTACACACCAATACCGATTTATATTCATAGCGGCAAGTGCTATGTAGCTCCACGTAGGGGACACAGGAAGTGACATATAGCACCTTCATGCGGCGTCGGAACCGCGTAGGAAATTCACAGCCGCACCGGCAGAGCTCCAGAATGTGCAACTCGGCCAGCTCACACGCGGACGCGCTACAAGTGCGAGGGCCCGCCCAACGCTGCTTGCAGCTTTAAAAATTTTTTTTTTTTTTTTTTTTTTCTGCAAAGTAGGCCCAAATGACATGGCCTAAACATACTCGAAAACTCACCAAAATTTGCAAACATGTCAGAACCGGTGAAAAATTTCGTATTCTACAAGTTTCGCACATGGGCGTGGCAAAATGACTCGCTAGCGCCACCTTGAAAATTGGAAATGATTAGCCCCTCGTTCACGTTCAACCTACATGTACGAAATTTTCTGGGGACATGTATCGTATCAAGACGCACAAAAAAGCCTCAAGAACCCATAGCCTAAAGTCAACAGGAAGTCGGCCATTTTGAATTTTATGGCCATTTTTGGATGATTTACACACTTCGTACTTTAACGAACTCCTCCTAGGGATTTAGTTGGATCGACGTCAAATTTCTGCTGTGCCTTCTAAAGGCATTGACGATGAAAAG